CCTTGGCCTTACTAGAGACCTGGGTTATTGGTTTGGGCCTCACTTTGTCAGCCCAAGTTGCTTGCTGCGGCGGCGACAAGGTGGCAACAGCTTCTTTGACCTTAGCCTGCAACTCTGTGTCATTGCTAAGAAGACCTTTGATCGTTTTGACCGGCATTTCCAAAAGCATGCCGGTGACTTTGCCTGCATGTTGTGGGACCAGTGATTGAACTTTCACAAACAGTTTTTCCCCCAAGAGTCTCTTAGTCTTGGAAAGGTTGGAGGCAGCGTCACCTGATAGCTTCTTCTCGGGTTCGATGCTACCAGCTGGGGCATGCCTAGTGATCTTGTTAACAAGACGTTGGGCGACCATCTCATCAGTTCATTTATGTGTAATGGCAGCCTGTAGTGTCTGTAACAGGATTCGAGCAAGTCGGGACTCACCTCTTGGAACAGGCGCAGGTCCTCCTTTGCCTTTCTTGTTCGCTGGAGGACCTGCAGCAGAGGATCTCGTTTCAGCTTGACCTCGATGAGTTTGCAACACCTGCAAAATGACTTGAGCCAAACTGCTGTCAGATTCATCAGTCCAAGCTTCATCACCGGTAGTCTTGCGCTTTTTGTCACCAGGTCCTGGGTGACTGGCTTCACCTACTCGGATTCCCAAATAACCACAAATCCACTGAATAACCCTGGGGCAAGTATTCAAGTGTTTGTTTGGCTGGCTCTGTATATGAGAGTGACGGATTCTTACCCATCTGGCTCTTCGAAGGCGAGTCAGCAACAATCTACGTTTGAGTTGTCCAAGGTGCCTATACCTGCGGTAAAGGACACGAAATCGTCTTCCACCAACCTTTTTGCAGACCCCTACCAGTCTACGTTTTTTCAGCTGTGGTTGTTTGAGTCCATAGCATTGTTTCTGCTGTTTCTTGTGCTTCCTTTTCTTTGACCGAGAAATCCGAGAATCAGAATGCAAAAGCCAAGTGAAAAACAGGATGGTAAAATACTGAAACCTGGTCCAACGGCCTGTGTGTGCCAGCCTTCCCACCCTTGGCCAAGATTCTTGGCCTTGCACAGCTGCTGGTACACCAACAGCGTCTGCGCAGCTGCTGCTCAACGCAGCTGCAAATGATGTGAAACGCATGCAAGGCAGCAGTCCATGGCTAGTCAGCGCCACTGTCAGGTTGCTACCGTCCCGGGTGCCCAATGGGCAAAGGTAATTAAATGCAGCCAAGTTGCCGTCACTCACGTCATCATCCCCAAACTTCCCAAAAAATTTAGGGTGATGTGAGGGGTGACTAGCAGCAGTGCAGAAGCAAATGCACAGCATCAGCAAGAGCAGTGGGTAAGAAAGGGGTTGGGGTCGGGAGGAGTGCCCTCTCCTTTGGCCCATTTCACACTCTCTCAAGTCAATTTCATTGTTTTTGTAGGGCATCTTGGCAGCCAAAGTGCTGCTTCTTGTCTGGGTCTTTGTTCCCTCATAGGATGTCTCTATACTCATTTGTTCCACACAGGTGGACTGGACCTGCATGGACCGCCAGCACCTCGAGGAGGTAGTACATGACTGGCTCCTGGGTCCCGGTATGTCGTCGAAGCTGAAGCCGCAGTGGCGCCAGCTGCAGCAGCAAGCAGCAGCAGCCAGCGGTGTAGCGGCCACCAACACGCGCGGCAGCGCCGCGCGAATTTCACCTTAGTAGGTGGTGCCCCCCCGTGGGGGAGCCCCACCCAGATCGCGCACTCTTTTTAGCCTTGCGTTGTTGGCGAGTGCACGAATGTTGGCCATCTGGCCTAGGCTGGAGTGAATCTCAGCTTGATTCCATCCCATGCGGGCGCACATGGGGTCTTCCGGCTGAGCAAGCACACGGAATTCTTGAAATTTCTTGCATTCCCACAGGACGTGGAATGTTGATGGGCATACCTGGGCACCACAGTCTGGGCAAAAATCCCTCAAGCCGCCAACATGGGCATCAGTGGTGATGCCTCCGCAAAGCACCGAAAGTTGATCCCCCGTACAACCACGGGCGGCATGCCTAAGTCTGTCAATGAGAACCTCAGTAGCATGGATTCCTTGCTCCCTGGCGAGCTGTGAATCTATGCGTTTAGATTGCAGCCAGGCAGCGAACCGCATCCTTCGCCAGTGCTGGCGAAACAAATGCTGACACCGTGGAATGACATCAGTCTGCATACTAGCAAGCCACTGACCGTTGGTGAAAGAAAACCCTTCGTCGGAAATCCAAGTCCCCTGAAGACGCTGCACAGCGTTCCTTAAAGCCATGAACTGAACTGAGTTGGCAGCCATCTGATTAGGGCGCTGCACCCATTTATGAACAGCAGTCATAAATTTTTGAGAGGAAAGAAAAAGGAGATCTGAGCAATGTCCCATGGCCAAAACTGCCGTGAGATCACGAGAGTCGTGGCCCCCAGGATGGTCAAACCCCTGCACTGCACATCTCCAAGTCTGAGCAAAAGACGTACATTCCTGTTTAGTAGGACACCTGCCATTGAACAGTATACCCCAGGAAGCGGACGGGGCCAAAACAGAGACAGCCACCGAGTTCCTGAAAGCCTTACTACATGGCAGGAGGGCAATCCTTTTGGCGACCTGGGTGATTTTATCAAAGCGCTTTTGTTCATCCTTGGTCTGCTTGCGAGGCGTCAGCCCCAAGGAAACACCTAAAATCTTGGCCGTATTTTGAAAAGGAATGTTATGGCACAAACACTCAACCCTGGCATCCAAGGTGCGTGGCAAGAACTGCTGTTTGGAAACGTTATTACGAAGCCTGGTGTTCTGAAACAAAACATCCCATGCCTGCATTGCACTTTCCAGAGCTTCCCGACTTTGAGCGACCAGCGTGCGGTCGTCGAGATAGAGAAGTGACCTGCTTCTGGGTTCTCTACTGAGGACAAAACGACTGGCCACTGCCATGAGAACACTCATGGCTGTGGGAGCCCACGGATCACCCTGTGGCAGTCCCGCTGTGTGTCGCAGCGGATGAGGGTCAACCGCCCCCCTGTATGTGAGCCAACGTTCATGTTTGCCCCATTGATCCTCAAGGAGGTTTAACATGTTAGGATGAAGACCTGCATGTTTAAGAAGACCTAAGCAAAGTGACCAATCCGTGCTGTCAAAGGCCTTTTGCAAATCAAGGGCCATGGCAAATGGCCATTGCTGAGCCGGGTACTTATTTTCCATAGTGAGAAGTAAGTCCTGAACCGCCAGATTGCTACACCCTGCCTGATCTTGGCACAACAGACCTTCAAGAAACCCCTTACAGTGTTGGTGTCGCATGCTGGCCCAAATGCGGTAAGCAGTAGGACCAATGCTAATTGGTCGGACATCTCCAAGTCCTGCTACAGAACCATGTTGAGCAGTTGCTTTAGATAAGAAACATACTTTCCAGTGACGGACCTGTGTGGGCCACTTTCCAAGGTTTTCACACTGAGTGAAAATTTGAGCAAGACGATCCAAGGCAGGTTCGGGCAAGTACGTGAGGTGACGTGGGAGGAGCCCGTCAGGCCCTCCTGCCCTGTCTTTCATTCTCTTGGCCACCTTAAGAATCTCGCTGCCTGTGATGGAGGGCAGTGACTCCATGGGAGCCGGTGTGGGGAAATGATCCTGAAACACCTCAGTGAACTGAGCCCACATGCTGTTGGCAGAGTTTCCAAATGTGCGACTCCAAAAGGAATGAAGAGCAGCAAGAGTTCTAGGCCGGGAAGTGAGGATTTGCCCTACTTCATCTTTTAAAACAGGTGAACCAATTTCCGTCAGCTTAACCCATTTGCAGGCACCGCTGTGTGACCTAACCTTTGTTTGCCAAGCTTGCAACTTTTGACTAGACTTATGCTGAAGCAGTGTCTTCAACCTTTCCCTAGCCAAACTTTCTGCTAAACCAAAAGCTTCTTGACGCACCGCATGCTTCTCGTGCGGTGGTACCTGTTTAGTGTAGCGGAGCTTTTTCCGGAGCCCATCGTTGATCTGTCGGCCCTGAGTGCAGCACCTGTGTGCTTCCGCGAGTCTTCTGATCCACCTGCGGAGCTGTCTTTCACTAATGGACTGATCTGGTGCAACAGCATGCGTGCTGGTCTGGGTTTGAGGAACTGATCCTATAGGTCTTTCGGGCCTACCTAGTTCCAAGAAACCATTACGAGTAAGCCAAGTTTCAATGTCTCGACACCAAACTTGCCAAGCCGTGTCCAAATCACAGAGAGCCTGGTCCCACATGCTTTCAGAAGTGCAACTGACTGCCCATGCTTCCAACTGACCGCTTTCATTGTTCTCGGCCAGTTTCCTGGTGTGTGCAAACCTGAACTGTTGGCCTGCAGGTTTCTGTGTCTGAACATTCCAGTGTACCTCCGCCAGTGAATGATCACCGTCCCCTGGTTGTTCGGAGAAGGCATTGACAGCGAGCAAGTCTTGTGAACTCCAAATTCCGTCAATAGGAAACCTACTAGAGTTGTGGCCAGCGTGGGCTCTGCAGCAGCCCCCTATTTCTGTCATGGTATCAAAACAGGTACCCTCCAATTGATTCATGTTGGCGTCCATAGCCACGACCCAAGCCTGTCCCGGTAGGTCCCGGTGATCATCTTGGGCCGTTGGGGATGTGAAAAGCACGCGTCCCAGGCGTCCATCCATGTGCGGTTTCTATGATAGACCTGTCGTGGTTTTTGACTTTGGTATGGATAGTTATGGATAGTCATTTGATGATATTTTTTGTGTACTTTCAAATGATACATGAGATGTTCATGGCATATGGAGTGTTTTTGGGTGTAGCATTTTAGGGATGGAAAGGCTTGAGAAAACATGAAACAGCTAGGTACCTATTATATAGTCGATATTCAGAACATGTCACACTACAGTGTTGGATGGATTGATGTTGATATATGTTGGTGAGCTTTTATTAAGTAATCAGAACCGCATAGTTTACTCGGGTGATACACTGCATGCCACACTTACTTGTCCACCGCATTCCAGATATGGAGCAGGCATTCAAGTCCCCTCCCTGTGGAAACTGCATCCGGGAAGCAGTTCCGCCACTAAGCGATTGGTGTCACCTGCTAACCTCAAGGGAAGGTCGAAACTGCCCTTTGATCCCCCAAAGCTGGGAGGGTTTCACCGTTTCACCAACACAAAATTGGTCTACCCTGAGTCTACCCTCTGGTCTGGTGATCAAACTATGAATGAACCACGTGCCAAATGTGGTCAAACGAAATGCACTTGCAACGCAATCAGCAAGTCGGCATGTTTTGCGCGGCAAAACGGTTGATGCAAATGGCTCTGGATCCTTGAGGAGCCAACGGAAATCATGGACAGGATGGATCAATGCTCAGAAGCAACACCAAAATCACACTGCCATATTTTCTTTTGATCCATCTACGTCCCTAAGCTGTATGGTGCTACGCTGAAGCCACTAAATCAATTCAAACATCAGGGCTTTGCTAATCTTCGTGAGGCCGTCTGCCCGTTGAAGATGGGTCGGTACCCAATGTACAGTTCTATGATCTATCAGCTCTTGAATCGATCTAACGTTCACCAAGCTTCGCTTGTCTTGGATGCTTGGGTTCGGCGAAGCTACAGTGTCATACAGGCTTTTGCAGTCTGTGACAAGAAGTGTTGTGAGACGTTTACCTACTCTATGAGCTGGAATGCCGAAAATGAGTTCTCCCAGCATGTAGCTCAAAAACGCAAGCCGATCGGTCGCAGTGTCAGCGCTCACTGCTTCAGCTGCCAGAGTAGAACGGCAAACTCTCTTGCTTCTGCCAGTCTTCCAGTCTGCAATGGCTCCAATTGAAGTGCACTCAGTGACATTCGCAGAGGTCAACATGATGATCTGTCCATGTTGGCTGGCAGATCCCTGTGCGTTCGCCCAGGATGCATCACTGTACCCAACAATCACAGTGCTCTGATCAATGGGGACAGCTCGGATGCAAATGCCAAGTTCTGCAGTTGACTTCGCAAAGTCCAAGGTCTGGTTGAGGGCATCCAAATCAGCATAGGTCGTCTCAGACCCACGATTTGACAAGGAAACTGCGCTGGCTAAGTCAAGCCTGCATTGTCCTGCCAACCATTGAAGACATCCGCTCACTGACCGAAACTCAGGCCAATGCTCATCAGAGATCTTCGCATTCATCTTACCTTTCGGAATTTTCATGCCCTTGTCCAGACTGTTGATGAATGTAGTCTGAGTGATCTTGACATAGAGCTCGTTCTTCTCGTCATGACATATATGGATCTCTTTGCCCTTGAACGTGAGAGGTGCTCCGGGCTGCGCATACTGCTGGGATCCCCATTTGAAGCTGGCTTGGAACTTCTCAAAGGGGAAGCTGGAGTTGTGAGTCAGCAGAAAATCATCCACATAGCAGATCAGCAAAGCGCAAGGTGCAGGAGCGTTGTGAGGATCAGGGAACCAAAACAACATTTTGTCAAAAGAATGACAAATAAAGCCTATTGCTTCCAATCTGCGGCTCACTTCAACAGCCCAAGTATATGGGGCATTTGAAAGTCCATATATATTTCCAGTTATCTCATACAGCTGACTTTTGAAAACTTTGGCTCTTTCGACTATGGGATCCCTTGGAGGTTTCAGATACAGCTTGCCTGCTCGTTCTGACCAATCTGGATCCCCTTGGAGAAACGCAGTGGAAGCGTCTCCGCACCAAAGAAGCCAAACATCTCGACTTCCAAAAGCCTTTGAATTGGCGCCAGAAACAAAGATGATGTACACCAACATCTCTGAAGTCCTCGTAGGAGTTGGAGCCTGTCTCGTCAAATTGACTAGGTCAGGGTCTTGGTTGCCACGACAGACTATTCTGGTCTTAGCCTTCAGCGGTGGAACATTCTTGTTCTTGTCCCGGTAGCATCCCCTGGAAGTGATGATGCGCTTCTTCAACTTCGGGTCATTCAGGATGCGCCGAGCTTCATCTTCAGGAATCGGCTGCAGGGACTTCCAAGTGGTGAAGCTGTTTGCCTCCTTGATGGTGGCTTCGACAAAGGCTTGGATATAGTCGTCAGACTGCTGCATGATTTCTCGCCAGCTAAGTTCTTTCTCCTGAGCCTTTTGCTCTTTCCTGGTTTTTCTAGGCATGCCTTTCGACATGTCATCAAACTCTTCATCTGACTCTGAAAGTGTCGTTTCAAAGTCGCCTTCTTTCTCCGCAAGCTCGTTGACATAGGCAGTGATGAAGGTTTTGGAAGAGCTTGGGAAGCAATTGTCAGGGCTGCCATCCCATCCAGGCTCAAAGGAGTTGAGCTCACGATCGCTCGCAAAGAAGCTGGGAGCTTGTTTCGCACCAACATGCCATAGTTCCGTCAGGGTGCTCAACTCTGATCCAAAGTGATGGGCCTCTTCATCGTCATTGTCGTTGAAGGGACCTTCAAAAATGATGTCGCCCGATGTGGCGTCCAAAGTGCGCCTCCATTTCACTGAAGACATGGGTGGTCCAGTGGACATTGTCTTCTTGGGCGATTTGGTGAGCAAATCAAGCCTTGCCCAGCAGCGTAAGCCTTGAAGAGGTGGCCCATAGAAGCTGCGGTAGTTGTAGAGCTCGTAGGACTTCTGTGCAACTCTTCTGGCTCGTGTGAGTTGTGCTGCCAGGGTTTCAAATGGCCGCTTCAAGACTGATGTTGCTTCAATTTGATCCTGATAGGGATCCTGTGCTGCTTGCTGTGCATCTTCCATCAGTTCTGGCGGAGTCCGTGGAACAAATTGTCCCGGATCATCCAAATCATCTGTGAGATCCACAGCTGGCTGAATGTTGGGATCAGTTTGTTGTTGTGCTGTACGTATGGATGGGTGTAGATGTGGCTGTGGTAGAGGTGGCATGGCTGCTGTGTGCGTATGGTGCCGCATCTGTGGATGCTCTGGCGGTGTTGGCGTGTCTGTCAGGTGGGTGTGTAAGTTCTGCTTGTCTGCTTTGTATCCTGTGTCTTGTCTGAGTCGGTGTTCTTGATCGAATTCTTCTGGATGGCGTATGGGGAACTGGTGTTCCAGGTGCTGGCTCGTGGAAAATGTTCTGTGTTTGTTGTATGTTTTGATGTAAATGGATTGATGGTCTTGATGATGGTTGCTGTGGTGTTTGTGGAGGTTGAATCTCAATAGGCTGGTTGCTGACTTGAAGATTGGACGTAGATGGGGCTTCGACTGCTTCAAGCTGAGGAGCAATTGGCGCATTCACTTCTGGGTACTCAAAGTCCAAGTCCAATTCCCCAGAAGCTTCAGCGACTTGGTCAGGTGGATGAACTTCTTCTGGAAGGGTCTCGTCAGTCCACAAATCTGACCTGATGTTGTCCTCCGCATTCTTGAGAGCTTGAAGATCTTGACGATCAGGGACATAGTCCTCATAGCCGAAGACATCTCGAACTTGGGTGTCAGCAACTTTGACAGTATGACTGCCACTTTGAAGCCACAGAGTTTTGCCATCTGGATCTTTCCCCAAATACCGCGCAATGCGGTATCCTCCACGTTTGCGATGAGAACGTGTAGTCCATCGCCAGTATGCCAAGAGGGATCCTGGCTGGGGCTCAAGCTGCAGCTGCTGTGAAGTTTTGCGAAGCAATGCCCTTCTCAAAGTCGAAGATGCTGAGGCCTCTGCAATTGCTTTCAACGCTTCGCATCTCATCAGGGCAGATTGCTGCTGAGCCTCAGAGCGAGACGAGCCAGAAATCAAAGCCCGAGGATCGCTCAAAAGGTCTGTGCCAACTCTTGGGATCTTTCCAAAGGCTGCGATGTATGGTGGTCGCCCAGATGACCAAGTGGCTGAGTTCTTGGCCTGAAGTGCTGAAACAATGGCCAAGTCAATGTCATCCGCATCGGTACAAGGCATGGAGTCGACGATGCGCTCCAGGAGCATTCTAAGCGTTCCATTGTGACGCTCGATCACGCCCAACTTGTAGTGAGCTTCTCCTGGGATGACATCTAGATAGGCGCCACCTGCGCTCATCTTTTCGTCAAACTCAGCTTTGAAGGCGCCATCATCATCAACTGCAAGCCTCAAAGGAAATCCAAAATTCTGAAGCCAGCAAAGTCGAAGTGCCTCAAAAACCTCAGATGGATTCCTGGAAGTCAACCTTGTGGCAGCATGCAAATGAGTTGCTTCGCAAATCACCCCAAGAACCGGATGGTTCTTCGAAGTCAAATCTCTCAGGTAGAAGATGTCCGCCTGGAGGTTGTCAGCAAATTGCCCAATGCACTGTGGAGGTGCCGCTGCTGGGTTTGGTCGAAGTGGAGCTCGTGAGCGAGCGCAAGCTGCACACTGCATATTTTTGATGCATTTGATCACCTGGTCACTGGTGATGCCATTCAAAGCCAGCAGCTTCAGCATCTCTGGACCTGGAAGATGTCCAAGGTTCTTGTGCATTCTCGACACCGACACCTTGATGGATCTGTCGATGCCTGTGGAGTTGGGAAAAGTGATTTCATCATGGTAAATCTCGGAGTTCTGAATTGGTTGTGAAGCTTGAGATGGCTGAAAATTGCCTGCCTCATCCACAGGAACTCCATCTCGCATCATGGCCTCTTCGGCTGGGATACCTTGTTCCTCATCAGTCTCATTGGGGTACCCATACCAGAAGATGCCCAGCTCAACAGGTGCCTTGAAGCGTGAACGTGGAAATCTGAGTTCAGTCAAGTCCTCAGTGATGACATCAACTTCAGGATTGTCCACGTACCTGAGAGCTGCGCCTCGGTGGGTGTATGGAAAATGCAATGGATGTCGATTCACCAAAGGTCTTCGAGCGACCTGCACCCGAGTGAGCTGCCATGGAAGCATTGCTTGAACTTGAGCATATAGTGGTTCGTGAGGTTGGATGATGGCATCTCGCGAAGTCAAAAAGTCCATATGCTGAGATGCCAACTCCATCACGTTCCTCCAGCTCTGTTGGTCATCCACGGGCATGGAAAAACTAGCCAGGACTTGCTTGGGCTGGAAACGGCATGGGTTTCTCAACTGAGCCACCTTCTTGATGCCCTTGAGAATTGCCTGGACTAGACCCATGGGATAATGCTGTGACAAGGTAACCTCTTTGCCTTCCAGGGGAACGCACAAAGCAAGCTGCTCGGCGCTCAACTTCTTTGTCAAAAACTCCAAGAGCATGGGATTGTTGGATGCAAACTGGAAGGTCTTCTTAATGGGTTCACCTTTTGAATTCTTGCCTCCATATGCTCCAGAATGGCATTCGACGATCTGGCCATTCGTATATATTCAAGCATCTCCAAGACTGATTCCTCCGACCAAATCCGGCTTCTTTCAGGATTTTCGATGAGGTAATAGTTGCCGTCATCATGTTGTTGTCGGCACCATTCCATGGATTTGACCACCGTAGGTCGTTCCTCATCTCTGATCCTTTCAAGTACCTCAGGACGGTCGTTATAGTTCATGTTTTCCTGCATGACCAACCATGGAGTGCAATGAAGGCCTTGAAGAAGAACAAGTGGATGCAAGGCCTTTCGAATTTTGAAGCACCAGTGTTGACCTTCCACCGTAGAAAGATCAGTGCCAGTGTTATAGTCCAATGGCATGGCTGCTGTCAAACCATACTTGGAGGCATTCTTGCTTATCAAAGCATTGCCGGCAAAGGTCTCCAGAATGTCGACCTTGTTCCTGGAATAGCGATGTTTGTTCGCCAAAGCTTCATAGGTGTCTGCTTCCACCTGCAAGGCATGTCGAGCCTTGCGAATCTTGCCAATCAGGTACTTTCGGTGGCCATCATTCAACCGTGGTCCTCGCCCCAGTCGTACAGATCTTCCTGACTGCCTGTCTCCTGCCACTCCATCTCCAACTCTGGATTGGGTGGGCCCTCTGCGGCCATGTTCAAAAGTCGTTGATAATGAACTTGGTGGATCTGATGGATGTTCTCGGCCGTGAGCAGGTTGAGGTCGTCCAGAACATGTTGAGGAATCTCCTGCACTGTAGGCTCGTTCAAAGGACTCTGAGAAGATGGATGGCCACGGCTCTTGGCTTTGGGTTTGGCTTTGGCTTTGGAGGTTGTTGCTCTCAGGGACCTCGACGTCGAGGATGCCGGCAAAGTGTTTGAAGGTGAGGGCTGCGGCAAAGAAGAGCTTGCCGATTGTGCGAGCCCAATGTCCTCCCAGCATTGACCTCGAGGATCCCATTTGCGTCTGGTGTGACACAGGGTGCACCTGGCGAAACTGCCCTTGAGATTGCCGTACCTCTTCCATTCCGGATGGGTGCATTCCGATGGGTGGTACTGAGCGCTCCTCATCTGTGAAGCCAGTACCTCTTGTTCTTGTCGCATCTCCCATCGCTCCCTCAGTGTCAACCATACGTAGCTCGCCAATCCCACTTTAACCATTCGAGACATCCATCGAAGGGTCATGAGCTCCAAGTTGAGCACTGCCAAAATGAGTGCCTTCCATCGGAGCAGCCATTGAGGAACGGGCTGTCGAATCATCAGAAACTGCAAACACAGGGGCTGGCTGATCTCGAGGAAGTTGCTGCTTCAGACGCAAAACGTCACTGGTGGCAATGATCTCTGGATGTGGATCTTTCCAAAAACTCTCATGTGAAAGCGCATGCCAAACAGGATCTTGATGAACATGTTCATGAAACTCTGAAATTGAAACTGCAAGATGTCCATTGATCTTCTGAATCGGCACTGAAACATCCAACGCTCTAAAAAAAACTCTCTGCTTTCCCAGATCAACCACTGTGTCCAGCTGTTCCAAAAACGTGTTTGAAGCCAACAAAGGAATGCTAGTGTCAACCACGCTGGAACCTATCAAAAACAAACATCCACCCAATGACACCGGCATGTAAACTCGGTCCTTGGCATAGATAGGCTGCCCACGGCCAAATTGGAAAGCCTCACAGGTGTCAACATGCTTGACCATCATTCGATATTGGCCGAGGAGATGGACTTGTTGGGATAGCCATTGGGTGCCACAACACATACGCTGACATGCAGTGTCTAAAATCATAAAACCAACCAGTGGGGTCATATCGGTCATCATGATGTCATATACCGGAGTGTTGATATTCACAACCATGAAGGAGAAATAGTTAGGAACTTCAGGATGATCAGTTGGGAGATGTCGAGGCTCAGAATCTTGATCTTGAGACATGGTGAAGAAAACCTTTTTCGCAGGCTTGCCGCCCTTGTCAGGCTGGGATTTTCCATCCTTTGAATGTCCTTTCCCAGCACCTTTTGATGAAACAGTACATTCTGCATCTCCGGCCCAGTGCCCTACACTTCCACAAGCGCTGCAGTGGCTGGTGCGTTTCCGGTCCTGAATTGACCGATTGCCAGAGTACTTTCTCCCCAAAGTGATCGACTGAAGTTTCTTGGCTGTGACAGTCAGCACTTCAGCAACTGACTGCAAATCAACACCTTCAGATTCTGCTTCTCCATCAACATCATGTTCCTCAGCTGGCTCATCCTGCTGAGGCTGACCATCTGGTTCAACTGCATCTTGAACATCATAGTACGATTCAGCATCTGGCTCTTTTTGTTCTTCTTCGACCGGATCAAGATCCTGATGCTCAGTCGCAAAAGCATGGCGAGGAGCAAAACCACTCTTGCCAGAGCCCTTGCTTTTGCCCTTGTTTCCTTTGGAAGACTGTGAGGCAGCTGAGCTGGTGCTGGCAGAGGTCGAAGAAGATGAAGATGACCAGTCACGCCTTGGCTGAAAGGCTTTGATAGGCTGTCCATCTTTTCCAAACAAAGGTGGCGGCGGCTTGTGCTCTGGAAACGACATGCAAAGACTTTCAGCAATGGCTTCGAAGGACAAGTTGAAGGCCGATCCAATCAAAACCAATCTGCCGTTTTCAGGCGACAGCCGAGATCTCTCCAACAGCCTATTGCCCATTGACTCACTGTCGTACATGCCACTTGCAGTGACACCGACACTCTCAAGGGCTCGTTCAGCTCTTCTGTATCGGTTCACAAAAGCTCTCATAGACTCATTGCTCTGTCTCACAATGGTCTCAAACTCTGACATCAACTTCCTTTTCTGGTACACCATCTTGGTCTCCAGGCCTTTCTTCAACAAACTCTCCACATAGTCAATGCCTGTAGATGAATGCAAACGATCCAAGTCGATGTGCTCCAACTCCTCCTCCGGCTCACCAGAAAGACTCGTATATAACATCAGTGCCGCATCACGCAGAGGCATGTAGGCTTGGATCTGTCGCTTCCAAACCTGCAGTTTGTTCTGCCACTTTGCAAAGCTCCTGATATCATCTCTGGAATAGCGCCAGGCAGGTGGAGCTGGTGGTGCTCCTGATCGAAAACGAAGTCCACGCTCAGGCCCTTTTCGGCTGTTCCAGCTGTCCTGAGACGAGGATCCATCTGCATTGTTAGTGTTAGTCTTTAGGTTCGGTACATTCGCATTCTTCAGGGTCGTTACCAAGTCATTCAAACTGCGGTTGAGGTCACCAAGGAGTTCACCGGAACGCTGACTTAGTTCCGAACACTGAGAACTGCGATCTGACTGAGGTGATTGTTCTACATCAGGTCTTTTCCGGCGTCTTCTCCTGCGAGGCCGCTGCAAATCTGGATCAACCACAGGATCTTCCGTAGGATGCTCAGACTCAGCATGCCTTTCATGGCCATCATCATCCAATGAGCCTTCTGAAGGGTCAGGTGGAGGCCAAAAACGGGGTGCCCTAGAATCCGGCTGCAGTTCCACGGACTCAACTGAGTGAACAGGGGAATGGCGAGGTGAATGCCGTGGCATGAACATCCATGTGCCCTCAGGAATCTCTGCTTTCACAGTTCTAGAAGCATCATAGTATCTATCACCATCACATTGAACACATCTCCAACAGTCATGTCGCCACTCGAATTTGTGATGATTACAGGCCATGCATCGCCAAAGTGAACTAGAAGCTGCACTAGCGGAATGAACTGGGCTCAACAAATCAACGGGTGGTCCTGGAACTGGCGCATCGAGCAATGGCGAGTCACAGGAGTCGATGTGGGTACGTTGGCCAAACATCTCGATGCACCAACGCAAGCTCCGGTGCCAGATGAATGAACCACGTGCCAAATGTGGTCAAACGAAATGCACTTGCAACGCAATCAGCAAGTCGGCATGTTTTGCGCGGCAAAACGGTTGATGCAAACGGCTCTGGATCCTTGAGGAGCCAACGGAAATCATGGACAGGATGGATCAATGCTCAGAAGCAACACCAAAATCACACAAACATGGCTAACCTGTCCTTCAGCCCACAACTGACATGTTCTCCCTCCAAAAATGCTTTTGGAAAGCAATTTTCGACATGAGACAGTGTCAATCTTTGAGTTGTAGGGGAGGTTTCAGTATATATATTATCTAAGTTCAAGATAGGTGCTTGATATCCAGCTATAAGATAGGTACGCTAAGCTTGGTACGCTTGGTGCGCTTGGTACGGTACGCTTGGTGCGCTTGGTACGCTTGGTACGCTTGGTACGCTTTGGGTAGGTACGCTTGGTACGCTTAGTAAGGTACGGACCATACCAACCGTACCAGTGAACCGTACCACCGTACCGACCAGATTAAGGGGGGGGTCAAGGGGGGGGCGTTTTGGATGTACCAAACGTACCTTACTAAGCGTACCAACCGTACCAACCGTACCGTACCACATGTACCAACCGTACCGTACCAAGAAAACCAAACCTACCAGCCGTACGTACCAGACATGTTTGGATCTTACTTAAGGCCTCTACCACCTATCTTGAACCTAGCTAAGTATATATATATATTTTTAGGGGAGTTATGCCACCTCATTTTTGAGCATCACATGCAATGCATTTCCCCCAGTGACAAACATCATGGAAAACTAGGGTAAAACACATGGGAGACTTCAAAATGATTCCAAATGATGAACATTACTTAAGTCTTCAAGGTCATAATATCATCATCATTATCATCATCATCATCATCATCGAATCATTGAACCATTGTTGTTTTATTCATGACATTGCGCTCATTGCGCTCACCGAGCAGCAAAATCTCCCGCATCGCTTGATACCTGGGCTACGGGGAACATTGTGGGACATTATGAACACACTTTGAGATAATACATTCGAATAGTGTGGTCTATGACACTCCCGAAAAAGATTCAGAAAATCTGGGTAATTTACCACTCGACTTTAGGTTTTTGTTCGTCTTTTTTGCAGCCTGCAGCTTTTTGGGGATTGGTATGAATGTATGATTCTATATGTACCATCCACCATGGTCAACTAGAAAGCGCGTTCTATTTTCTCAAGCACTGCAAATAGAGGATAATCACAACATAATTAACAACAAATTGGATACATTAATCCATTTTCCCCCATAAATTAGGCTGGATAGTTGAATGTGTTTGAAGCATATTAATTATGTACATGACATTCGACCCGCAAAAAAAAGTCGGTTGGTTGAGTAAGCCGGTAAGCATTCTGCAGCTACGACTCGTTTTGACCAGGATTGAAGGCACTTTCAGCATCAGACATGGCTGGAATGATATAGATTCTCCCATGTTTCCGATGATTTTCCCATTGAAACCTCCATCATTCATATGGGATTTCCCAACCATGTTTGATTACCGAAGGGTGAAAAAAACCTGTCCAGGAATCCATATTTGTAGTTCCAAGTCTCACACGCCCATCACCAAGTTGCTGCTTGAAATGTGCAGCACCAAAGACCTTTTTCATTGCCTGCGATCTGTATACTCTGCGAATGGAACTGGGATGCCGGGGTCGTGGGTCACTATTCCGTCCCTCCGCTTTACTGCCAACCAGACTACAATTGCATCACGTCCTTTATTTCAAACAACCACTCAAATTCATTTGAAACATGTTCAAACAAGCATATGAGCAATCTCGGAAACTCAAGGTTCACGAAAAGGACATCAGCAAATTTTAGAAGGTCCCGTCGCTTACCACACGTTTGCACACCAAGTTTTTATAGTCATGTCCGTTGATGCATGATGACACATGGCAAATGTGGCCGGTATAGTTTAAAGGGAAGTGAAGTATGTGCACAGGTATAAAATAAGCAGACTAAACATCATAACATCAACAATGATGCAAATGTCAATCCACCTCCAAACCTGTCAAAAACTGTGAAAAACAAATGGAATTATTTGGGATCATCCTACTGTAAAAAGACCAAATGGAGAAGACGCGATAGCAATTCATGTTTGAATATGATTGAATCTATCCGTTGTTTGACACCAAGTTTCTACACATCAAGGAACAAACGTGTCAACAAAAAGCACGATCTTTCTTCCGCCATGGGAACGGGGCCTCAGTTACAAGCCGGTTTATAACCCCACCTAACTGTAGATATCGATACATCCACCATAAATACAACTCTTAGCCTAGCTACAGGCTAACTTACCAATCCAAAATCCACAAAACAATTCAAAATCATTCTAAATCCAATGTTTGTGGGTTAAAATCCATTAAATCTTCAGTTTTGTTCTTAGCCTTAGTTCAAACTTACCAGCCACGGCGCCCTTGGTCTTCTGCCCCAGTCGTGTGCCCATAGCCTCCTCCTCCGTTGCCAAAAACACATCTACCAGTGGTTGTGCTGGGACCACGTTGTAGTGACCTCAACGCCCCGTCACTGGCCTTCGTCTCAGCTAGGGAAACAGTTTGGATTTTGGAACTGTTAAGAAAAGGGTTCCACAAAGGATTCCAATCATTTGTAGCTTGAAACCAGAAACTTAGGAAATGGCTAGGAACTGTTGGGGGACTCCTTTTTCCTCGAATCCCTTGGGCTGTTGGCTGAGCCGCATCTCTCCTCGCGCACTTCGTACATGTGAGGGGTGATGGGCTTGCTCCCAAAACTACCTTGGCGTCGGGATGGCGTGACATGCTTTCGAAATTCCACTCCCTAATTGGTGGTTCACCCCACTTAGCAACTGGTTTGGGGTTCTAAGCAAATTCATAAACGGGATTAGCATTCTGGTGAACCCAATAGTAGGTCATCTCAATCCATCCCAAATTGGGTTCATGAAATTGGGTATACCTTAGACATAGCCTCCACAATCCACCGACGAACAGCGGGCTTAGTGGGCTAAGATGGGCTAAGGCTATGTGCAAAGTATACCCCTCTCACTGTGACGACTTTAATACAGCAACCTGGCCAAAAAGATAGACCGTCAAAATCGTCAAAAACCGAGGCAAGGGCTTGGGCCAACAGATCACTGTACAGTTGGTATGTCTTGGACGTGGAAACAACAGCGAAGCGAACCACTGGGGGCTCGCTTGCCGGAAACACGTAGGTTTTAAGTCTACGAATTTGGAACCTCAATAATTGATCTGGTTGGTTACGGTTGGTTACGGTTGGTTACGGTTGGTTACGGTGGTTTCAACTTGAAAAAAATAGGAAGGTGAGTGATTGGGGAGAATCATTCCATTTCTAAGGTAGGTCATAAGACAATGTGAAAGCACCAGCCATGTTTGCTTAACATCCACTTAAATCACTTAAATATCTTAAATTATATCCCCAACCTTGGGTTGGTAGATTTCATTTTTTTACAATGCTTATGGCTAGTAAACTATGCACTCACCACCAATATTCTGAAAACTAAAGTATGGGAATCCACAATTACAATTATATACTTATCAAATGAATCTACAATGTGTAAATATATATAAATAAATAAATAATAATAACATACATACATACATATATAATTAGAATCCCTTAAAATAATTCTACACTATATATATATGTGTATATGTAAATGTATATACATATAATATTCTATTATATGTGTGCGTATATATAAATAAATAAATATATATATAATATAACCACCAAGCACCAAGCACCCCGTGGGATTTTCTGATTTCTCAGCCCAAGGAACTGCGTCCCCTGTCGATGGACTGGTCCTTTTCAGCATGGGATGATTGACTTGTAAAATGATCATCAGATATTAATGTAATCACTTATAGGTTATTAATCATTGTATATATATAATTAGTATTAACATGTATTGACCTCCCCGTGGCCAACAAGGGTAGTAATAATTTGCTGGCCCTGGATGGACTCCCCCAAAAGATTCAGAACGATTAATTATTGCTGTCTGGAACGTTGGACTGCACTTTGTTTTTAGTTTTTTGGGGTTGCTATAAGTAATTATTACCCCTTCGCTTGGTCATTTAACTTAGCCATCGAAAATTGCCCTTTTTTGTAGAACTATCCGCAAAAACACATGGTGGTTCATCATAGCCAACAAGCGACAAGAGATGACAATAGACAATAAGCGACAAGCACATCACAAGGCGAGTCCTGTCACCACTTTTTTTTCGATCTACAGAGTTCCATCGTACGTTTCCTTCAACAAAAAGCTTTGCACTTTATCAAATTAGCCATGAGCCACTATACTCACCACTATCCACAAGTTATATAACATTTATATAACATGATATAACCACCAAGCCTGCGAATGGTACCCCCCAAAAATAAAATACACTGTCAAGTGGGAGCCATTCTTATCGAAAAAACAACGTACTTAGCTTACTGCGTCTCGCCTCTACAGTGTGCGTCCCGCCAAATACAAGTTGGTCAATAAACCAACCGAACTGTAGTTATAAATGGCCCTAAACCCTAGTTATCCCAGTTATCCTAGTGAACTAAACCCACTTAGCTATCTAGAATCTAGGGGGGGCCCACCTCGTAGTTTTACTCAGCCCAGCTTTGTCTTGTTTCGCCCCAGTCGGCAGTCCTGTGGGTAGCTCCACTTTGGCTTCCCGAGTTTCTTGGTCTCCGTCGTGGGCATTCCCTGAAACCTAGGACGAGTGGACTGGCAGGATCATTTGCCAATGGCTATGGGGATTCTATGGTGATGTCATGGGAATGGGGAACCTACCTGAAGCCACGATCAATGAAATATGAAGATTCTATGGTTTCAATGGCCTGGTTTAAGGGAACATCTGACCGGAAACCATTCTTGTTCCGATCAAATCTGGTGGTGTCCTGCAAATTTTCTCTGAACACAAATTTTTGGAGGATTGCCATTGCCTGGATTTTCCAGTTTAGGGCAAACGAAAAAACCGGTCCAAGGATGACCCAGAACGATCAGCCGAACTTTCACCCCACGTGATCAGCTGTGATCCCATGCAGTATTCAATACCTCCCAATCAGGGGTACAGAATTGAACAGACCCAATACATCCCTATACTACCCTCTGGTAAACATTCAGAAAGCATGGAAAATCACCATTTTTAATGGCTAAATCAAGTATACAATTGGTCATTTTCAATAGCAATGTTAAATTACCAGAGGGTATACTAAACGCGCTGCCACCGCTGCCGCGCAGCGAGAAAATCCCCAGATTGAGGCTGTTCTCAAAGGTGTTTCGCCGCTTTGATTTCCGACCGCTCTTGGAGTTCTTGGTCTTGTCCTGTGGGCTGTTCCAGCCCACAAAAAATGGGTTGATAGTGTGGTTCAAGTTCAAAGGGCCTCTTCAAATGGTTGGGTGCCTTGCAACTGGAGAATGGGAAAGATTCCATATCTGTTTGGAGGGCCAATCCCTTATTGTCTTTTTGCTCGTTAACATCTTCAGCAACGACGACCAAGGAGGGCCGAAGTCAAAGTATTTCGCTTCTATAGGAGGACTATGAACGCTGTAAGAACGCCAGCCTCGGAAACATGATGCTGAAGGGTGTCTCGCACTTTCGTAAAAGCATTCAATAGTGGATCAGTATGTTCAAGTCAAAAACCAATAAAAAACACGCGTAAAAGAAATGTCAAGATGGATCTGTTAGGCCTCCAGGTTTCCTCCTCCAACTAAAAAAGGAACAGCAAAGCACGATGGAAAACATCGTTGGGGATCATTGATCACTATCCTGACCCATGGGTCCCAAGTCCCCACCGTGGTACCCTTCGGTAATCTCACCTGCCAATTACTGCCAGTTTGAGTACCAAAATTACAGCCATTGGTGGAATTCAACCATATTCCTTGCTTGCTGCAGAGTACAGGAATGAAGAATAATATTCAATATGAAAACATCCTAGGTACCCCAGCTAGTCATTTGGTTTTCTGCCTCCAATGTTGGTTAAATACATCAACAATAAATCTGAGTCAGCCTAATTAAAAACCAATTTAACTGAATCATAGTTTTTCTCATATATCCAGGTTTTTGAAATTTCCAAACATGTTTGCCTTTAAGAAGTGTGTTTCCCAACAATTTTCTGTTGTGAAATCCCGACAAACGTGAAGTGCTACCAACCTCAACCTACTAATACCTTCCGGTATGCAAACATGGCAATGGAAATCCGTGATTTAGTTCTACATCCCAAAAATCAACACAACGTTTCATTGTCAGTTAATTAGTTAGTTTTACCTTGATATTTCCATGCTTTAATGAAGTTCCATTAAGTAAGTCCGATTAAACCACCATTTCTGAGCCCAGGTTTTTTTCTTTTGCGCTTGCCAAGGCTCCTCCCCTTCGAATGTCAAGTTGATCCAGTCGGCCAGTTGGTTCACAAAGCCATTCCTCAAGCCGAAATTGAAGTGAAATTACCTCCGAAACTTTCATATGTATAATACAAACCTATTGTGTATATATATATATAATTATATCATATATATGTATATATACATATGCAAATGTGGATAGACAATAATATGATTAGTAAGAATACAAAAAAAATTAATGGCCAACCATATGCAATTATATATATATATATTATACGTATAAAGTATTTGTTTTTTTTTAAAAAAAAACTTAAATACATATATGTAAACAGTGATTAATAATTGTATATTCTATAGTATACGATGGTCAACAACAAAGTAATATAGTATATATATATGCATATGGTCACATATGTGGAAGGCCATGGCGGAATTCCATATGGGTCACGTTCGGGGAGACCGATCAGTTTGGATCACTTTGGGGTATATGGCAGTTGTATGTGCTCCAAAATAATCTCCAGGGGACATTTCAATGCATCGTGGATATATGGCCGGGCGTTTAGTTAATGAGTTCATGGATGTTCATGGAAATTTCTGGTTTGATGTTGAATTCACTCATTGTATCTATGCTTGCGTCTGCAAGCAGTACCGGCGGAAGAATCCAGACTTTTCCCAAAGACTTTCCGAGTGATGTACCTTAGAAAAGTCTCAGAGAAGGCGGCGATCCCCCATTCAGGCTTTTGTGTATATAAATACAATGTAGATATACGACATACAATGTATATAAATGTAAAAATAAACAAATACATATGTATAGTATATATCCCATTTGTTGATTATGTATACTGGTTTGTGGTATAGCTACCCCTCTGAAAAATGATGGAGTTCGTCAGTTGGGATGATGAAATTCCCAACTGAATGGAACAATAAAAAATGTTCCAAACCACCAACCAGTATATATATATATATGCGTGTGTGTGTGTGTACTGGACTGCAGCACCCCTCAAAAGATAGAAAAACTGGACACCTGGAAAACATGGGGAAACCGTCACCTGTACCATTCTGGAATTTGGTGTTCTTTTTGGGGTCTGCTACAAAAATATTATATATATATACATGATTATATATATATTTATATGCAAAGTATCTATCTACTATTTTCTTATCTTCATGTGCTTTTCCACACCAGTAGCAGAAGTCAAACCATGATCGCTGAGCTGGTGTGCAGTGTGTACGTGTGCGTGTGTGTGTGTGCGTCTACGAAATACGAAATAAATAATAAACGAAAATGTTTTTACATATACACCTACCAAAGGCTTACTATATAATAACAACTGAAAACACATTTGACAAAAGAAGGCAAAGATTTCAGCAAAATATGCGGCATTTTTGACATCCTCACTGCAATTCTGGGATGGCAATGGAACAAAGCAATTAACTCTACCGTCCGGTAAATGAACATAATATTATATAGGTATCGGTATATATAGGTACGGTACTGATTTGATTTTTGGGGTATTTCAGGGAACATATGGGAACAGTACGGGAATATCATGGGGGTTCTAGTGGGGAAGGGAATACATCGATATTGAAATCCATGGTTTCTTAGGAAACCAATCTACAAAAAGGAGTTTTCCACATTCACTTTTTGGGGCAAATCATTTTCATTAGCTAACGCTGCCGCCTAAATCCATCTATAAAGTGGAATCCTATGCCTCGAAGGTCGTCGAAGTTGCCACAGACTAAGCTTGGCTCAACCGAGGCTCATGTCCTCTTCAGTGTATTTCGTCAAACCCAAGGACTGCACGGCTTCCAGCAGTCGCTTCCCCGACACCTGGAGCAATGACAGCCATTTCAGGAGGTACGTAGCATATACCCTCTGGATCCCTCTGGTAATTTAATATGGAAAGATCCACCATTTTTAATGGGTAAACCAACTATAAATCACCATTTTCAATAGCAAACTGTTAGTTTACCAGAGGGCCTACAGTAATTTTCAGGCGGATTTTCAAGGGATATCCCCACAAAATATTGCCTTTTTTGGGGTAACTACCGGCAGTAGCTGCATTTTAGGGTCCTGAAATTCCCATTGATCTAACAGGCTGCGTTCTGGGATGATGATCTTCCGTGCTGGCGAAAAAGTCATGTTCTGTGGTGGTTTGCCGCTTTGAAATCACAAAGTGGCCAGTGTTCTTCCTCAATGATTTGCCTCTTGGAAATAAGAACTTCACAGCCATCCATGAAAATGATTCCCAGGCCCATACGCCTTGAAAGCTGCGGCCCATCAGGAACATGAGGATCAAACAGGTTACTTTCCCTTTTGCTGCCAATTTCTGCCTAACCTACAAGGTGGTGCCCTGCGTCGCTCGCCAAATTAGTTTACAAGTAGGGAAAGTACGGGATGGATATAGCTCCAACAGTTCCAACAGTTGACCGGGCTTATACAGGTTGATCTGAATCCCTTCCACCCTCCACTCTCTTC